ACGTGAGCCCTGCTGCTCTCCACTGGGTGCGCAGCCCCCAAGAGCCCCTGGGATGTGGGGGGACACCTATCGTGGTGCAGCCCCTCTCTGCGCCAGGCAGCCTGAGCAGTGTGGCTGCCTGTCCCAGGCACATCCTTGGCAAGCCCTGTCACATGCCAGTGTCACCTGGCAGAGAGGGGGACAGCGCGGACCCCCGGGGCGGATGGCAAAGCTGTGGGCATCCCAGGGAGGACATACTGCAGCTCTTGTCCAGGGCGGTTACTGCAGCTGGCCATGCCTGGGCTTGCGCTGGCTGACGGGGCTCCGTGGCCAGCAAAGAGCCGATGGCAGTGTTTAGGGTGATGATTGCTCCTATAAACCCTGAGAGGAACCCCCCCAGTGTGGGGCATGAGGGAGCACACCTGGGACCAGGGCTGCCCGGCAGACCCAAGGGACAGCGATGCATCCCCTGGGATGCTCTGGGGCTGCCACTGGAGCAGGAGCTGGCGTAACCCAGAGCTGCTGCTGCGGTAGTGTGGCTCAGCCCTGCCCAGGACAGAGGACCCTGGGGTGGGTGAGTCTCTTAGGGAAGCCATTGGCTGGCTCCAGTGTCAGACGGCTGTGGAGGGGGAGCATCAGTGCAGGGCTTTTTTCCTGGAAAATCTTTAAGTGTTTGACTCAAGTCATTCCCTGGGGAAAGCAAGCGCAGCCTGGTCCCCACTGAGCTGCACAGTGGGGAGGTGATGGCACATCCGTTGGGTTTGGGACACCGCTGCCTCCCACAGCATCAGCGCAGGGGGACGCCTCGCAAACCACAATTAAATGGTCCCTGCAGCCCGCTTGGCTCCTGATGTGCAGGACCCCACACCAGGAGGAGTCGTGAGTGTGCCTGGCCAGAGGGAAGAGGCTTTGGGTTTTGCTCCATGCGTCATCAGCCCAGGGGGTGACTTCTCTGTGGCTTCTCCCCAGTGTGCTGGCAGATGACGGCCAATTTTGCCCGGGTGCTGCGAGGGCGGTGGTGGCCACCGTGAGAGCCCAGGCAGAGGACAAGGGCTGCCCTGTGCCTTGCTTCTCTCTGGATTTCTCCCTGTGCGGTTTCTGCAGGGGGCTGAAGGCTTTGAATTGCTGAAACTGGCACAGTCAAACCCAGAACTTGCTCCTGCCCAGCGGGGCTGTGTTGCACAAGTGAATACTAGTGTGGGGGCATGGGCAGTTGCCTCCTCCTCCCCCCTGCAAGAGCCCTTGCCACTGGGCTGGGAAAGGTTCGTTTCCTCTGGCATATTATAACCTATTAATTAGGTAATAGGCACTGTTGGTCGAGGTTTGGGTTTCACCCGCCGTGATGTCAAACAGAGGTCAGGCTCTTGGCTTGCCCGCCCTCGTTTAAAGGCTGTGCTCCCCGCAGCCATTGTGAGGGCAGCGAGGGCATCTCTGCTGCCTGCCCCGTGCTTGGCACGGGCATGAGTTAGTGCTTGGCAAGGAGCGTGTTGGTATGGCTGTTTGTGGTGCAGAAGATCCTCCCTGGGGTCGCAGGGATGGGGAAGGAGCACAGAGGGTCTCCAGGACATCCCCCAGCATTCCGGTTCAATGGGGGACCGCACGGAGTTTGGGGTGACCCTGGCATCACCCTGTGCTCGGGGTGTTCCCAGTTTTGCCAGCCAAGGGAGGGAATGTGTGCTGCCGGCTGGCACGACAGCAGGATGGCAGTGCTGGCTGCAGCCCATCCCGGTTCCCAGCACATCCATGGCTATTTTTACAGCGCAGAAACATTGTGCTCCCAATGCCATGGTTTAGCAAAGGTACTGGGATGGATCAGATTAACAAGAGCAGCTTCCTCATGATCTGGAAAGGTGCAGGGACTCAAGGGCTGGGGGGGCTATGGCGACCCTGGGGGTGGTCCCACAGCCTCATTAGCTGTTGGGGGACCCAGAGCCTGTACCTGGAGCAGCGGTAACATGCAGCCAGGCTTTCCCTTGGATGCAGTCTGGCGAAATCCTGGCCTAGGTGGCTGGGGAAGGCTCACTCCATTTCAGATGGAAGAGAGCCAGCTGCCCTGTGAGGGCTTGCTGCATTGCTGCCAGTGCGTCCGCTCACCACTGCAGCTCTCCTCTCTTATTTTAATTTGCTTTTCTCATTTGCTGCATTGTTATTTTGTCCTGAAAGAGCTCTAGGAGGTCACTTTGCATCCGACCCGCTGGGAGGAAGCAGGGCTGCCCCTCTACTCTCCCCACTCCCCACCGTAAGGAGGCCTTTCTTTTCCCCCTTTATTTTAGTGCTTTGATGTCCTTATAATTTATTTTTGCAGCAGAGTTGTTTTCATGATAAAATGGAAATGTTTCCCGTGGGTGGCTTTAAAATGAAAGGCTGAGTGAAGAGGCTAAAAATAGCCCCGCATGAGCTGCTGGCTGAATGAGCCACTGGGCTGGGCAGGGGCTGCCTGCTTGCTGAGCTGGGGAGGGGACCTGGTGGTCCCCAGGGCTGTGACCATGGGGACCCTCACCGATGGTTAACCCTCCCTACACCGGCGCATGTGGGCTGGTTCATGGGCCGAGCTCTGGGTTGCTTTTCTGTGGAGCTAGGCTTGGTTATGCTGTGTTTGGGGCAGACGTCCCCTCTCCCGGTGTGAGCCCTTGTTGCCTGGGTGGGGACACGGAGAATCCCCACAGGACCATTGCTAAGGGCACAGAGCACACGAGGCAGCCGGGGCAGTGCAAGTGGGGGGTGCTGAAGCCCCCTACCTGTTCCCACCACCGGGAAGGAGAAAGCCTGGAGCTGATGAGCAGGATGACGCTAATGGGCCGTAACGCGGTAGCTGGGTCTGCCCACCCCCCTGCCTGGCTGCCAGCCCTAGCTTTTCTCCCCAGGGGTGCACCAAGGGCTGCCTCCGTAGGAGTTGAACGTGTCCTGCGTAGGACGTGGCTGTCAGCCTTTATCCACTGAAAGTGATGCTGCCAGGGAGAGCTCTCCCAGTAATGTCTCTCCTTACAAGAACCAACTGCCCCTCTAGCAGGAAAGTTCAGCCCCATTTACCCCGTTGACTCATCTTCTTCCCTTTCATCTTCTCTCAGAAGCAGCTTATTATATGTGGCTATAAATAGGGTTTGTTCCTGATTACATGTGCCCAACCATTACTGTTTCTCACCCAGGCGTGACGTGAGCAGATAGCCTCCTGGCAGGGATGCATAACACTTCGTTATGGCTGTGGGAATGTGAGTGGGTGGGTGGGCTTGTCTGGGTCTACTTCCTTCTTTTATTTTTGATGACAGTAGCTCTGTGGGTGCCTCTGACTGAATCTCATTGCAGCATCCCTTTCTGCTGCTCACCCACATCTCTTCTGTCCTCCGAGTGCTGACCCCCAAATCCTGCTGCTGTTTGCCGGGGCACTGCTGACTGGCTCCCACTGTCCTGGTGCTACAGAGCAGAACTGTCCAGGCTGTGACCTTGCGGCACAGCGGCTGTGAGTGGGTGGGCAGTGTGGCAGGTCCCTGTCCCTGGGGAGGGGGATGATGCAGCCACTTGGCATCCCGTGCTTTGGTCACATCTCAGCAGCATCCAACGTATTTCCTGAGAGCAGCTTCGGAGCCCTGTAAGTGTGCCAGGGATGGCAGGGAGACCATCATAGGAGCTTTATTCCCTGCATAGGTGCTCTCAGGCTGTGATCGAGTCACCCTGCAGCCATCTCTGAGAAGGTGCCAGGTAGGCTGGCCTGGCACAGCAACACTTCTGGGAGGCGGTGGCACATCACTCAAAGGCGTTTGATATAAATAGATGTGAGGCTGAAACCAAAAGCTGTAATCGTGTGCGTGCCAGCACAAGATGGGAGTGGGTAAACACAGGTGGCTGCCGCGTCCGCCAAATGGGTCCCTCCTGAAATACAGCTCAATGATACAACTGGCATCCCATAACGGTGGCCTGGTGACACAAATACCCCCAGCGTGGCTGCGAGATGCGGAGCAGGATGAAGGTGCCAGCAGAGCCTACAGCCTTGCTGGGATGGCAGTCAGAGTCCACAGGGCTGATGGGGACCTTCAGCCTCCTCTTCCTCCTCCATTGAAATCTACCCTGGGAAGTTATGGACACTGAAAATCCCAGCAGGGATGAGCTGACCCCAACCGTGAGCCCTGTGGTGCTGGGGATGTTTGCTGGGGTAGCGGTCTCTGCAGACTTTGGAATGTGGGGGCTGGCGATGCAGCTCATATCCCCCGAGGCGCGGTGAAGTCAGCCATTTACTTGGAAATTACTCTCAGCTGAAGGCAGGCGAGGTTAAATTGCAAATGAAAGTCAAATATTTACAGCATTCAAATTAGCACTGTGATCAGCTGGGCTGGGAAACCTTGTGCACCGATTCCTATGTTGCACAGAAATGTTTGCAAGCTGGTGGCTTTGCCCTGCTCCCGTCCTGCCACAGAGACCATGGACCCGGCTGGCCTCACTTCCCAGTGCTGCCCTTGAGGGATATCAGTTCCCTGCATGTTTTCAGTGCCAGTCCACAGTGGGTGAAGGTGCTGGGGTGTACTGCCAGGTTTTTAAGGCCAGGAAGAACAATGATCTCCATTTAGTGGATCTGCTCCATAATAGGGACTATTGTAACTCTCACATTCCTTGGTCACCATTTGGGTGGTTAATTACCCTTGCTCTTAAGTAAACAGATAATTGTGCATTATTTAAGGGTGGATGTTGAAGAGACAAAAGATGAGGTATGGGCTCTGCTTCGCTCATTCACAGTGGCTCCTCCTGGCCCTGCCATGCAGGGTGAGGACGGATGGCTGGTGCCAAGTCTCTTGCATGGGGCTGCATCTCCAGACCGTGGGCCACCACTGCAGCTCTGCTCTCAACCTCCTCCGACACTTTGGGGAGCCTGTCTCCATGGATCTGGGGTGATTTTTGATGAATCTGTGTGACTCGGTGAATAGGGAATTGATCACTTGCCAGCAGGGCTGGCGTCACCATCCGGCGTGAGGGAAATGGGATGGGAACAACCAGTATTTATTAAGGAGCTGGCACTGGAAGGGAAGCACCCCGGTGAGAGCCCTGGGGAAGCGGCTGGGACCGGAGAGGCTGGGTTTCCTGGCAGATTTAGGCAGCAAGATCTGGGCAGCCTCAAGCTGGTGGAAGCAGAAAACCTTATTGCCCTGATTACTGCTGTGCTGTGGTTTCTAGTTTTTCTTTGCGTTGATGGCCAGAGACTTAATGGTTTTAACATCAGGGCTGAGATGCTGGAAGCTGCTCCAGCAATAAGGAGCCCATCAGGGCAGGGATGTGTGAGCTCACGCTGTGATGCCCCCAGGTCTCCATTTCCAAAGCCCTCAGGGATAAGAAAGGCAGGAAAGTGAAACAACCACAAACCCACACTTTGAAGAACTTCTCTGTTCACCTAAAATAAAGGGGGAAAAGAGCCTAAGCACATTTCCCATCTTCCCTGGGACAGCCCACAGCAGTGAGGCTGCCTTGAAGCTGCCCAAGTAGAGATGCAGGATTTGGGACTCTGCAGGCAAGTGAGGAAAACTCTCCTGGATGGGTACCCACACATCACACGGGTGCAGTCCGGCTCTGCCCGCGATGCCCATCAGCTGCGGCTCTCCTGGGTGGCACTGGCCGCCGCAGGGTGGTGTGAGCTCTGCCCCAGAAGCCCCGGATGGGGCAAGCAGGGCTGGAGCCGCTCCGAGGGGGCTGCAGCCCTCTCCGAGCACCACAAAGCGCGTCCCCGCGAGGTGACGACAACAGACGACAATAATCCCTGCCGGCTGTCAGCAGAGGTGCTCCGCCGGCTTCACAAGCAAGGGCGAAGCGAGCCTCTCGTCGCCTTTGTGAGGACAGGAAACCCAGCGCGAGCCCCGGCTGGCTTCCTGCGGCTCACGGCACGCGTGCACGCCGCCGGCCTCGCGCCTCCCCGCCGGCACAGCGCCAAGCCGCCTGCGATGAGGGAACCAAAACGCTGTGGCCAGGAGGATTTTGCAGGCTTTCATTAACCTTGGCCCAGATAGAGTTTGGTTTAATAATCCCTACACAGATTGCCCGGATCAGGGCAGCGTTCGCCTCATCTCGGAGATGAGAGAGAGAAAATCGTCGGGAATATTTTTTCAGATCAGTTCACCAGCTCTGTGACCCCGCTGACAGATTTGGCCTGGGAGGGGGGCAGCAGCCCGAACACAGCTCACGTTCCTCCCATCTCTAGCGTGGCTGCTGGGCCCGCTCTGCTTGCGAGCCTGCCCTACTTAGGATCAGCCCACAACATCCTTGATTTTGAGGTCGGCGACAGCTGCTGGCAGGCCTGGCCTTATGCCGTGTTTACTTTTTAAGCAGCTCAATGCAAAGACAAAATGAACAGCTTCCTTGGGCTGCTGTAGCTGTTTCATTGTTCCTGCTGAGGAATTGAGGAGGAATTAGTATGGGGCTCAGGGCCTCCACACAGCTGTGGCCATTTGCACCAGATGAGGCTTTGGTCCTTCTACTTAATCCTGGGTTTGGTTACTGAGCCTTCATTAATAACTGCTTTATGCTGGGCTCGCGTATAATCTGCAGCGTAACTCTGCTACTCCTTTTCCCTTGGGGGATGGAGGGGATCTTTGCAGCTCTCCAGTGACCTTCCGCATCCTCTTCCCTCCAGGGGACGCAGGGCTTTTCTGGCGAGGCGTTCGCCCCCCGCCGCTGCAATGCACCCCCTGCCAGCCCTTCCCCGGGCACGAATACACCCTCCAGTCCTTCTCCATCGCCAAACCCTCCTGCTGCCTCGCTGGGAGAGCCTTGGCCCCGTGGTGACAGGCAGCCGAGGAGCGGCGGGAGGCCAGCAAGACGTCATCTCTGTGCTGGGAGCACACAGTGTTCCCTTCTGCAAATGACTCGGGAGGAAGGAATTTAACTCAGAATTTCCTCTTTAAGAGCGCCGGCCCTTGTTCTGGGCAGAGTCTTCTGGGAGAGGGATTTTGGCCAGCTGGGATGCAGGGGGAGGGCAGAGGGTGGCTGGGGGGACCAGGATGCTGCTGGGGAAGGGTGGTCGTCCAGGTTGGATCCCCCTATTTCCTCACTTCTGCTAATAGCTCCTGCGCAGGTTTCTGTAGCCCCGGCTATCAGGCGGGCTCAGAGATGGAGAGGTGGGGAGAAGGGAGGTTAAAGTTTGCCATAGCTCAGGCAGCCCCCGTGGGGCCCCAGAGGTGCTGGTACGTACAGTGACAGTGTCAGCGCACAGCATTTGCAGCCTTGCAGGCATGCCGAGGGCTGGCTGCGGAAATCCCCTGCCTCTCCTCACTGCCCCGGGGCTGCATCGCTCGCCCCACGTTAGCTGCCAGCAGCTCTCCACCCAGGGGCTGCCGGTACCCCAGTGCCTGATGCACAGCACCTTTGCAAAGAGGAGCAAGGCAAACCTTCCTCTTTGCCACGTGGCTGCTCATGCCATCTCATGGCCAGAGCCACCCTTCCATGTGGCCAGCCAACACGTGAGTCACTCTTGCCCAAAAGCAAGAGGCAGTTGCCAGGCTAGAAATCGTGACTTCCCTGCAGGAGAAGCTCTCTCTGTTACTTGGTCCAGAGCCGTGATGTTCTGCGTTTGCTTGCTGCTGTTTCAGCTCTGCAGTGGCCTGGGTACTGGGAACAACTAGCATAATTAGCACTTTCGGTGCCACTTGCTTGTCATAGACATTGAAGCCCTTTGCAAATTTCTCTGTAAGAAGTAGGTCAGCATAAACTCTCTCTTTGGAAAGAGATGAAGCACAGAGGATTAATTAACTTGCTTGGTATTGCACAGCCAGGCAATAGCAGTGCTGCCGGAAAGCATCCCCCGGTCCCAGGGGAAGCGGGGGCTCTCATGGCAGGGTGCTCCTTCTCCCCGTCGGGCACCAGCACAGCTGAGATATTCCTTGTTTGCTCCCCCAAACCAGGCTCCATCCAGCAGCTTGCAAGTGCAGCCTGGTCATCTGCTGGCTGAGTGATAAAGTTCCCATCCTTACAGCCCTGCAGCTTGTGGTCGCTGATGCCTGGATGTTCACAGCCAGTGCCTGTTTCAAAGCAGCAGAAGCTAGCAGTGATGTAACCCAGCACTAAAAATAGCCAGAGGAAGAGTCCCTGAAGCAGCAGGAGAAACTGCAGGGAAGGGATAGATGGGAGGGCTGAATTCACAAGAAATTGCATTCCCAATCGATGCTGATTCAGTCCATCATCTTGGCATTGCCTGGAGCCCTGATGCTCCAGGGGCAATGGGCCAGGAACACTTGCTGCTGCTGGTTCCCTGGGCCCTGGAGACATGATGGAGCATGTTCATCCCAGCTGAGAGCGCACCGCTTATCCCCACCCTTCCCAACTCTCGTGTGGGTCTTCTGGTTTGTACCCTTAGCCATGGAGAGTTGCTGGGGAAAACTATAGCCAGGTGGTGGGCAGGATGGAGAGCCTGCAGCAAGGAGCAGGAGAGTGCAGGTCCCAGCCATGGACACACATATTACAGCATTTTTTGGCAGAGGACAGTTCTGTTATCAAGTGGAGCAATCTGCTCAAGAAGTCCCCTGTGAAATAACTACGAAATCTGCAATAGCTGAGCCAGCTCCTCCATGGGCCCATCACACGAGGCTGAGTTTCCCTGCATGGCCATGGCCCTGAGGGGGCCTTGTAGCCCCGGAGCTCGCAGCCGCTGCCAGCCTGCCCCGCAGCACCACGGGCTCTGCCACGAGCACTGTCAGCTCTTCAGTGGGGACAACTCCATCGAGGGGAAGGATTTTGCTCTTCCATGAATAAAGAGGATTTATTCTGAGGTGAGCTGGACCTCCTTGTTTAGGAGAACCTGGTAGAGTTTTTCCCTTCCAGGTGGAATGAAAAGGCTCATCTACAAAGCTAAAAGATACATGGGGGTATGTTCTGACTTCCACAGCATCATCTCCTCCCTGATGGCTGGAGTAAGGGGCAGACTGGTAGGTGGCTGCTCAGAGGAAAGCTAACAGGAGGAGCAGGCAAGGGGAAGGAACAGGAGGAAAAGCACACCCAAGCTTCTCCACAGGAGATAAAATGAGAGAGCAATGGGGGGCTGCCTCCAGGGACAGACCAGGGAGGGTGAAAGGGAGGGAGGCCTTGGTTCCAGTGGCGGGGGGTTAGTACTGGAGCATCTGTAGCATGAGCCTGGGGTTATTCAGTCGCTGCAGGCTTGGTGGGCAGGGAATGGAGCTGCTGGTGAGTCTGTGCCATCACAAGCCAGAGCCACACTTGATTTCTGCAAGAAAGCAGGTATCACAGACGGTGCCTGGCCCATCTGTGGCAAGATGGATGGCGGTGAGGCATCACGAGCCCTTTCCTTCCTGCACAAAAGGCGCCCTGTGATGTGTGAAATACAGACAGTCCCCTCCCAATCACTATTTTTGCCAGCATTTATTTCTCTTGTTTGACTTAGTGGTGCAAAATCTTGCAAGCATTAAATTTGTTGAATGGGGACGAGAAGTTTTCTGTAACCCGTTCTTCACCCAGGGGGACTCGATGAGGGATGTCTGCAGCTGCTGAGCCAAAGCTTCTGACCTTGTCTTGCCTGCAGATGCCTCCCAAAGGGTCTGCTGGGACTGACCCTGATCCCACAGAAATGCAGCAGGAGCAGGATCTGTGGTGTATCTCTGGGCAAAACCAGGCTGTGCAAAGTGGCTGTAGAAGCGAAAATGGAAATTGAAGGCTAGGGGTGGCAGGTTTAAAGCACCTGAAGGACAAGCTTACTTATTTTGATTGATATTTATATCTGAACTGGCTTTTCCCTGTCCTAAATAGTCTGCATTGCTGTGCTGTGCTGAGCAGTACTGGTGACATTTCGGCAGTGCCAGGCGGGTAGGTGTGGCAGGGTGTGCGACTCCAGGATGCCAGCCAAACCCAGTATCACCCGGCTTGGGAAGTTCCCAAAATGTTCCCCGGAGGAGTTTCAGCTCTGAGTCGTGCTCCTCTTTGCATGCTGGGGAGTTGGGGCTGTTTTGCTGAAGGTGAAGCCATGAAATTGTGAGTGTATAGAGGGCAGAGAGCAGTGCCTTGGGGCAAGCACACGAGCTGCTTCGTGGCGACGTCTGGGTGCACCAACAAAGACCGAGGGTCTCTGGGCAAAGCCTGGAGCGGAAAGCACAGTCCCAAATGTGGGAGTCTGGCCCTAAGCACCACCATGATAAACATACTTATTCCACAAATAATAACACAAATAGAGAAAATTATTCCAGCCTGATGGAATGGCCCTTATGCTGCTGCCCGGCCCTGTGGGATGGGGAAAGGAGTGGAGGGATTTATTCACCAAGGAGCGCCTGGGGGAGGCTCAGAAAAAGGAGAATCAGACGGCGAAGCTGCAGGAGGGCACGCGCTGGGGAACGGAGCTGCCGCAGCCTGCGAGCACAAGAGGAAACCGAAACTGCCGGCTCTTTCCAGCTTCAGCTGCTGCTGAGATGGTCACCCACGGAGCACGGCAGCACTGGTGCGGAGCAAGGGGCTGACCCAAACCTATGGATTTGGGTTTTCACTCTGGCTGCAGAGTTTGCAGCAGGGCCGTGAGCTGCCCCAAACACGCATCCCACCAGCCTGACAGATTCCCGGCGCCCTCTCCCAGAAGAGCTGGAAGACCACATGCGGGTGATGCCACCATGCCGGAGTGGCCACGGCTGCGTGCCACCAGTGTTTTCAGTGTGCGCTGGGAGGTGGGGTCCCACAGGAAGCTCTGCCTGTGCATTTACAGGCTCTGCCTTGCCCCGCAGGAAAACTTAGAAAAGACTGTGTGGAAAAAAACCCTCTGGCCTCTCCTAACCTTTGGGCACTTGCTATCTATGTATTGTTCTTTTCGTGTGTTTTTTGGCAAGTGATTGTTTTATCCTACGATAACACATGAATTCTGCTGTGGCAGCAGTTCACTAGGTAAGAGAGTCCTGCTGGAGAGTTACAGCCTCAGCAGACGGGACTGATGAAAGGAGGGGAGCAAGGGGACACAGCAGTAACTGGCGTTTTGTTATTGAGAGCCCAAGCCGAATCTCCATTAGCAGCCCACGGACACCGTCTCCAGGGCTCAGTATGGCTGAGCGGGCAAGGCAGGCTTTCTGGGGCTGGGGGGCTCATTCAGAACACCCAGGAATGGGTCTGACAAGAGTCCTTACTCTCTGAAGAGGCCGAAGATCTCCCTGGGACAGGCCAGAGTGTTGTCTGCATGTGTCGCTGGCTCAGAGGCAGCTCTTTGTTGCTGCCCTCTTTTCTGATTGCTTTCCTGCATCTTCCCCGGACAGTGGAGCAGGCTGCAGCCGCGTAGCATTCAGCCCTTTCCCGGCAGGTGAGCAGCCCGCCTGGCTGGGCACTGCCGCCGTCCCCGTTTTCAGCGCACCGTGGATCACGTGTGCTCCCTGCTTGCCTGAAGCATAGCCAACAAATTACACCTTAAACCATAAGTTACAGATGTTTTTGCTTGTGGTTCCTGGGTCTGGTCAGATCAGTTAAAAGGAACTTGGGGTGGAGAAAAACCTTTCCATTAATCACAGACTTTTGCAGGAAAGCACAGATCCTTCACCTGCGATCCCTCGCGCCCTGGCTCGTAGAGCAGCAGCTGTCAGCTCTCCATTTCTGCAGCTCTTGAGAAATCCCAGAGCTGAGCTTCCATCCCAGTAAACAAAGTCCGGTTGTGTTTTTCTTCTGTGACTCATCCATCAATTTGTAATTGCTCAGGAGTAATAGAAAGTGCCTGGCAAGGGACAGGCCTGCCTGGTGGGCGGCTGAACTGCTGGCGCTCAGGCAGCTGGCTTTGCTGCTGCCCCGCGCAAAAAACCTCATCGTTATCCTTCTTCTTCCAGCTCCATTCTCATAATTATTATTTTTGACCCTGAGAGGACTGAGGATAGAGCATGGAATCTATTTCCGTGCAAGACATCTTTAAACCATGACATTTCCCTGCTACTTCATTAAATTAAGTGCTGTCCTTCTTTAGTGGCCTGGCTTTTTGAGTCCTGAATCAGACACATCATCTGATGAAATGTTTTGCAAGTAAATAATAACTAGAACCATGTGCATTAATTTGAACTACCACAGGCACGATAAAAATGGCATGGACCACACCATGCAGACAAAGCACAGGATTAAGACTGTGGGTGAGGACTATGCAGTTAGAAAACCGTATTGGGTTGGAACTGGGCTGATTTGGTGACAAGTGGCTGAATTTTGGGGGGGTTATATTTTTTGATTCAGGGTCTCAGTTTTCATATAAACAAAATTTTGCAACGCTCATCATGGCAAGAATAATATTGAACTAGGGAACTTCATAACAGTCCCCCATTGCCTGTAAAAGGAACAGTTCCTAGATCCTTATCAGGGGAGAAAAAAATGAATATGCATGAACTTTGTGCTCAGGGGTGTTTTCTATGGATCGTGCATTTGACATAGCCCAAGAGGGATAAGTATGCTCTGCCACTTTGTATATTGTACCAGTTCTGTAAATAACGGGAAGTGCTTGTTCCTTTAACTTTCAATCTGGCACTTTTCACCAGCTCTTTAAAAATTTTTTTATATATATATATACACATGCACACACAGTGCACACAAGTGAGAGGAAGGTGTTTGTGGAAGCATGATGTTATTGCCTAATCATTTTGTGAATTATTTTGGCAGTGGGAGAAACAGGCACCTTTCTGCCTGCCTGCGTGAGCAGATCCTCACCAGCTTAAACACTGCATCTCCTTTGTCTCGGCGAGGAGGAGTGCTGAGGAGCAAGCATTGCTATTGCAGTGACTCCTAGAGCTAAGCGTCTTATATTCAACAGCCTCATGTCATTGCTCAGGGTGAAATGTTCTCAAGAGGTGGTGAGGGGTCAGCTGGAGTGCCAGGCAGTCAAAGGATCAGTCTTGCTTGTGTGTCTGGGGGCATGGTTAGCTGGAGGTTCATGATAGAGCTGATGGGATGGGGAGCTGGAAGTTTAGGAAGTGAACATGAGCCGTGTGCAGGCAAGGGCAGCGGGGGAATGAAAGGCTTGCCAAGCTGAGGTCAATGTTGACGTCTTATTACAGGCATGAACTGTATCAGGGAAGCTGATCGCGGGCGAGGAAGGAGATGCCTGGCATAGCCTGGAATTGCTCCCCCACTAATTAAGAGGAACGGAAAGAAGCATAGCGAGGAGCAAGGCTTGAGGAAACCTAATGCTGCCATGAGCATGTGGGAATATTCCCAGCCTCTGGAGGGATCGTGCAGCCACTCACTGGGGAGGGGTCCCATCAGGTGGCACCTCAGCTCCCCTCTCCCCATGGCTGGGGAACATAAATCAGACATGAGCCCTGGACCAGCTCTGGGCTTGCAAACGAAGATTAAAACTAGTAGCATGTGTCAATAATCTCCAGCCATAACTGCCAGTCTCTTGAATAAATTACAGACCTGCTCTCTCACTACCAGCTTCAGCCCGAAGAGGCATGGATTTAAAACAAAATCTTTAAATATCCAAAGAAAGTCACCAGTTTTAAATGGTGAGAGACACATATGAAAATAGATTTTGAAATTAAGAAAATAATGATGGTGCCAGCCAGATAAACAAGGAGACTCTCAACAGGCAGCCCTGTGTGGCTTCAACTGTCAGCCTGATGGACAAGAGAGGTGTATTTTAAGCAGTGAGAACCAGGGGGTATAATTGTTTCTTACACAAGACTGTACGTGTGCTCGTACTTTAGAACAAGGAGAAATCTGAGATCTCTTGCCCTATCTCTTTGGTGAACCAGTGTTCACCCCTCCAAACCAAGGAGCCGTTCCCAGACAGGCCCTGGGCCTACCTAGGGGCCAGCAGTCGGGGAGCAGAGGTGGGAGGTTTGAGCGAGATGCTCTGTGTGCGCAGCCCTGCCTCAGCAGCCCGTGGCCAGAAAGGCTGGGTCCCTTCTGGAAACAAAGGATGCCTTTTGCTGGGTGCGTTGTACAGCAGAATCGTGGTGGCTTGTGTGGCTTTTAGCTCTCTGACCTTTATTTAAATGAAATGCAGAGTAATTTGTATCTAAGTGGAGTTGTTCTGGCTCATTAGTGTGATTAAATAGATGGCAGAGCGTTACTAAGTTCATTGTCAGAGAGACTGTTGCTTAGTAATTTAAACTGCAATAATCTCATTATTCAGTCTTTTTTCCTTACAACGATGGTGGCTCTGTTGGTGGCTCTGTTGTTACAGGCACATTCATGGGCTTGCATGCAAAGGCCGACAACTGCGATGACATTTAAAACACGAGGCCACCGGCTCCGAGAAGTCATTCAGGGTAAAGCTGAGTAGGGGGAGCCTCTGGGACTTTCAGCTGTGTATGCCTGAACGAGGTTTTTGGTGGTACAGGAACAGAAACGCAGAACTAACGGGTGAGCTCAACCGTACGGCCCCATGAGCCTCCTCTGCTTCAAGGACTCGACAGATGCTCTTCCTCTGCCTCCTCAGCGGGGCGAGCGGCAAAAGCCCCCCTGCAGCCAGGCCCCGGTCACATCCAAACTAACGGCATGCGCCGCACATGAACAGAGATACACCGTTTTCAAGCAGGCACTGAGGCAAAGTTAACCAGAGCCCTACCGATGGCTCCTGCGGCCTGCAAGTCAAGGTGTAACTCCAAAGATTGTTAAGGGGCAGGAAGAGGAAACCCAACCCACCCCGCGCAGGGCTGGCACCAGGCTGAGGGCAAGCGGGGGACAAGGCAGGGGACAAGGCAGGGCACACGGCGGGGCCACCTCGGGCGGAGGCGTTCACCGGGCAAAGGTGGAAGCTACGTCCCGCGTTCGCCTCGCAAAGCTGAGGCAGGTCCTGCGCGGAGGCTGGGAGCCACGGAGGGGCTGCTTCTCCCCGCGGTCCTGCTTCCCAGACCCGGACTCTACGAAGCAGGCCGGCCAACCCCCCCCACGCTCCGCGGTTTCCGCGGAAGGGGTGCGCAGCCAGGTCGGGCTGCAGAGCGCGGACGGCGAGGCCCGGAGGGGCCCAGCGCTGCCTGGGCTTGCGGTGCCCCAGCCCCGCGCCTGCCGCCCGCTCCGGCTCCCCTAGCAACTGCGGCGCTGGCGGCCGCCCAATCAGCGCGCGGCGGTGCGGGCCGAGCCAATAGGGAGGCGGG